GGGGGGGGGGAGAAAATCCCATTAAACCTCTCGCAATATTTTCCGCGCTCTCTCCAGTCGAGCTCTATCCTACTTACTTTATGTACGTATATGTGGATACACAACACAACACCTATAGCCTCGGCCACCAAACATATTACAAGATCGACGGCAGAGTATGCTATATTTATGGTATGGATTATATGTACAGACACGCTCGCACCTATGTAGGTGATATCGAATTATAACCAAGAGAGAAAATATATATACGGCGACGACGAGCGCGACGACGCGAACTGAGCGCGAGGAAAAGGTATAATTGCAAGCACATCTTATACGTTGCCGGGGGGACACTTTCCCATGCAACCAACTCCACTCGGCGCACCAGAGTCCATAAGTTATCTATTTACACTTTGGCTCGAGTGTCCAAGGAAGGAGGTGTACACGTACGCTGGGTACAGAAAAGAAAATATATATATATATATATATATATATATATATATATATATATATATACACATTTATAGAGTCCAAAGCCAACAATTAACGTATACGTAACCAAGTTCGCAAGTTTGGAAGAATCGAGCATCATCGAGGGCAGTGGTACATAGATAATACACAAGAGCAATGCCAGGCCCCTCGCGGGTGGAGGGTGTATTGTATACACCCAAGGGTGGGGGGGGGAGGAGGAAGTGATAAAGAAGAAGGATACGCGAGAGAGACTAGCTCGCATGTATACGTATATGTGCCCGCGAGCTAGCTGCGGCGTATGGGTTGCGTTCCAGAGGCGACGCGGACCACCCAGGGATCGGGGCTTTGCAGCAGGGAGCACCTGCGTAACAGAAGAGAGAGAGAGACCACTGGCTGGCTGGGTGTGTATCGCGAGGGGAGATCGCGCTTCTCGATGCATTATACGAGTGTGCGCATCTTATATATATATATACATATATGACTCGGACGAGCAGCGTCTGTGTACAGCGCGAAAACTCGCGGTCTCATCTCAATGCCTCCGGGACGATGAGGTGATGGATGACGGGAGAGTTGCACACAGGAAAAGGATGGGTGCACGGCATATATCGGCCCGTTTCCGTGTTCTCCCCCCCCCGTACTTTTATAATACTATCCATCTCTACTTCTCATCCTTTTCCTCCACATTCCGAGAAAAGCTCGGCTCTATACATACGGGGATGCGATTGTTGCCTCCTCGCACCTATTCGTATACAATAAATATATATATTTATATTCCCCTCGACTGTTGCTCCGTTTTCTCGGCTCTCTGCTTGCGTTTCCCTATTACATGTATATACCCCTACACCGCCTATGTGCAGACTTTCCTCATCAATCACTTTGATGACTTACTGAGGGGCCGCGTGTGTATAGGAGTTTCTGCATATCTGGTTGGGGGATCGCGAAAACTCTTTTCCCTTTGTCCATCGCTTGACGTTATTGTATACATGCATATGAGTATACGGACGTGTATATTTGCCAATTTAAGAGACAAAGGGAGTAACGTGAGAGCGCGGGTACTCTATGGGCACACGCCTATATTTATATACACCAATATCATCTCTCATCTCGTTAGCGGTTTACGTAACTCGATTCTCGAGCTTTAATATTGGTGTATTTACGTACGCACATCCATCATTCGGATATTGGTAATTTTTATGCGCGTTATTGCAGCTCGTTGTTGAAAATATATAATAAATCCATGGATATTGCACGGTTTAAATGTGACTACGTTCTTATAATATATATGCAGTGTGGAATTATTGCGTTGGAAACTTTCAGAGCAAGCCGTTGACTCGAGGAATGGAGCACAGGTGTCGTAGGACTTGACGGCTCGCGCGACGTTTAGGATTTTCTTTTTAGGGCTGCTAAAATGGTTGGGAGACTCACCTGTACCACGGAGGGATAAAAAAAAAAATAGATGGACGCGCAACGCGTCACCGGGTGTCTTACGAGCTGTACACAAAAAAACTCAACGTCAAAGCACCTATATATATACATACGCCTCTCGGTGGAAGATGTATATATATTCGCGCATGCTGTATCTGTTTTTCTCCTCCCCTTGTGGAGTAGTAGTATTCCCCCCACAGAAGTCTCCGAGTAAATCCAACGCGACTCGTATACGAGCAGTCGGTCGATAAATCGGTTACCCATTCGAGGCTTCGGTAACATTGTACGTTAGGGCTTTCCCAAAAGTTTTCCTCGAATGGACCGGTGATGAGGGTCCAGTTGGAATTACGGGGCGATTCATGGTACACCCAAAGGTGAAAAAAAAAAATGGATGAAAAAAAAGGAAAAGACGAAATATCTGTACACGTGGGATGTCAGTTCGAATAACCCTTCCTCGGCGTTGCGGTGTCTTATGGTATAGGTGCATAAAAAATAAGCAAATAATTGGCCAAACATAGGGTATATATATGTGTATGTATATATATATGTGTGTATNAAGGACCATCCCGCCGACGAGATGTGGATGTACGACAAGGGCTACAATCTTTTTCAAGTGAGTATTATCATAATTATGATGTATGTTGTATTTTTGTACATCATATTACCGCCGATTTTCCCATTGAGCCTATATATATCAGTCTCGTCACTTTTTTCTTAAAGCAGGTATACAATAAATATACGTACACAATGTACCAATACATTTGCGTGTAAAATAAAAAGAGGGGGGGAGGGGAAACAGAAGAAGTTTCGGAAGCCTTTCGCTTTTCCCAATGCAGCGATGGTCATTTTTTTATTCCCACCTCGTGCATTGTACACAGGGATACACATGCCCTGCGCCGAATGTTATATACGTACCAAAATACTCGTACGTCTATATAGAAGGGGGGGGGGGGTTAAGGAGATCGCAGGCTGCATATGCATATACGGAGCAGCAGCAGCGCGTGATTTCACTTTCTATCGTGAGAAAGGTGAGAAATTTCGCTATCTGGTATCCGGTTGAGCGAATCGATCCGCCATCCAACACGTGCATAACATAGGTATATACATGTATATATATCCCACGTGCAAGGCGAAGGAGCATGGAAGAAGGTGCACACGACGGGAGAGGAAAAAAGACTACCACGAGGAGGAGGAGGACGACAGTATACAGTAGAGCCGAGCAAGCGAAGGAGAAACTAGATTCTATACGACCATACGACGTAATACTACACACACGGGCACACGCGTATATATATGATCAGCTGCGGCAGTGGTGTGCGCATGGGGACACACGGGAGGGAGATAGTCTCTCGGGCGTTTCCGAGAAATCTGGACGGCCTTACATCCTCGGCTCCTCTCCGTGAACGCCCCCGACGACGAAGAAGTAGCCGGAGACCGCCAAATCGGGAAGAGACGAGAAAAAGGCCGCTCTCACGATACAAATGGAAGGGCGATTCCACGGGGCGAGGAGGGACAGCTCCACCCCATCAACCCCCCTCCTGTGTATATATACAGATATCAAAGTGCTTTTATACATATGGGCACTCGGTTGGTTGGAAAACAACAAATGTGTATATATAGGGTGTAGACGCATAAAGTATAGTAAGCACATAAAATAGTCGGGAACTGCAAATCCAATCACGAGGGAGACGAATATATTGTATATATACTTCGACCCGGATGACGTAGCGTTTGAATGGAAACGCGTCGGGGTATACACACAACGTACCGCTGGCTCGAGAAACGGAAAAGCCGCGGCAAATTAGTTGGCGTGCCAAATCGTTGCTGGGAAACATACATAAGAAGAAGCAAAGAAGAAAGAACCAACGACGCGAAACTCAAGATGGGGGGGGGAGGGTGAAAAAAGTTCGGCGGGTAAGACGGCTAATAACAATGCCGGTCGGTGATGATCCCCTTTGGACGGGGGCCAGGGGGGGGGAGACTTCTCGGAGTTGAAGTTCGAAATGAGAAGACGAAGGGATATATTATATACTATGTACGGGCTACGGGGAGGAAAGAAGATTCTTCTTCTTTTTCCCCCGACCGTTCCATAGTTGCCGTAGGTTTCCAAGGGTATCCAGTATATAGTGTGGATCTGGCGCCTGACAGACTGCGCTGCTCACGAGGGGAGTAAATCAATTAGCCGGCGTATAGCTGTAGGCACGAGAGGAGGTGATGATGGAATATAAAACTCCGTGACCCTTACCTATATACTTGTTTCGGGAGGTGGGTTGGTAGAGGGAGGGGAGGAAAAATATGTTACCCGCGAAATGAGAGGGAAGTGTGTATACTTAATGAGGGTGACCGAGACGAGACGATTTATATAGGTACAACATACATACCACCACCACCGTACTTTGCTTTGTGCATCATACCCCCTGTACCGTGCAGCCGCGGTGTATAAAGAATATAGCTCCATTATCGCGGTCGTTCGTTTTTATTGCCTGGTATAAATATATGAGGATGTATATAATATATAGTTACGCGGCGGCGCCGTAAAATCAACCTCCTCTGAACTGTGAGTTATACTTGTGTAAGTAGTAAAACTATTGGCGATGAAAGGCGAATTAGAACTTTTTTTTTTTTTTTTCTTCCTATCTTTATTTATCCTCTACTTCCGTTAGAGACGGTATACCTACTTGTTGGTGTATATATTATCCGCTAACGAAAGTGTAACGACTGTTTATAGGTCCCGGAAAGCTTTTTTTTTATTTTTTTTTTTCCTACACCAGAACGTTGAACTGGCTTTCAAAATCATTGTAAGTACGATGCAAGCGATGATTTTCATGCGATGCATTTCAAGTACAAACTTTTGCCACGTTTTTACTTTTTATATGGGGATATTTATTTTCTTTAAATGATAATAATTGATGAATATGTTTTTGCAAACTTTGATCCCTTTATATTGATCAATATTTCCCTTACCATACGAGCACTATTGTAATTATACACAATGACATCTCGGCGATGTCGATTCGACGAGCCGGCCTGCACCAATATACCCCTTACACCTATAGATAATATATATGTGTATAGAGAATGAAAATGAAACTAACGAAAGCGAACGTGTGTTTGTATCGTTGCAGAGATCGCGATGGCACCTCCCGATCGACTGAGGTAGTACACAATAGAACAGAAGAGGAAGAGGAGGAGGAGGAGGAGGAGTAGTAGTGCGCGCCGTCGTCGAAGGAGAATGTCCTCGATAATAATGGACGACGCGGGATCAGCCGGAGGCGGGCCCTCTCGGTGTCTCCTGCTGCTGCAGAGGTCCTTGGCGATACAGCTTACGAGAGGACCGCCCCAGATTCTCAACGGCGGCAACAAAAGCAGCGGCAACGCCGGCAATAACTCGACCCAACACGATCCTTGCAAGGACCATCCCGCCGACGAGATGTGGATGTACGACAAGGGCTACAATCTTTTTCAAGTGAGTATTATCATAATTATGATGTATGTTGTATTTTTGTACATCATATTACCGCCGATTTTCCCATTGAGCCTATCGTTGGAAAAAAAAAAAGGATATACCTATACTTCACGCGAGATCCTACATATATTATGTACTACAATTTCTCCGAATGCGCTGTATTGCTCTCGGTTATTTTTTTTCCTTTGCTATACATGCGTTCGAGTAAACCAACCAGTAATCGTATCGCGTGTGGCAGTGGTCAGCAGACGTAATAAAATAGCCATCGAAAAACACGCGCAACTGCTCCTGAGGGAGATGGATCCAAGAGGCCCCGGACGGCACATATATATATATACGAAGATGCAGCTACGGAGACCCGTTAAACCAGCTCCTTAGCTTTGATTAGCCACACCGTTACACCAGAGACTCGCGCCCGATGGGCTGCTGTATACCCACATCGGCGCCCACACGCACCAACACACTCGAGCTCAATAAATTACGCGTGCGCCTGGTTAATATATATTTATGTATGTACATACGTATCCTGCAAGCATACATATATACATTTACATCGAGTGCGGAAACTCGTTTGCCTATACCTACGGTGTAAGTACTGCTTGCCGATTATTCCTCTCACGCGCGCGCTGCGTCGCTTCCACTCGATCGGTAATACCAGAAGTCCTTTCTACGTGTGTGTTATATGACATTGCGAGCTGCGGAGCTTGACCTTTACTTTTTTGTATACAAGCCCAAGTTCGCACCCTCCGCGCGTCCTTTGAGCTCAAAAGCGTTTTGGTGTATACGCCACGCCGATAGGTCCAAAAGTATTGACAGAGTGCCCGTATAAGGTTGGGCGACAAGTTTAATGGCCTGCTTTTCCGGTGCCCAGTGTAGACTCGAGTCCCCCCCCCCCCACGTGATTGTCACTCTACGTGCGGGTTGTACGTAAGTGCGCGCCTAAGTGTACCTGCGCGGAAGAAAACAGAGAAAGATCAAACGAGCCAAGACTGACGGCTGTACTCTTGTTAATGTCACGTAGCGTGTCAAATAAAGGGAGCAAACGAAACCAAGATATATATATTATATCTCGGGTGTATAAATACATCGCGCGCGTGTACGACATTTTTCGCGCTTATTTTCAGTTTGTACGTGCTTTATTTCTCGAGAGCCTTTGAAAGAAAAAAAAAAAAAAAAAAAAGGAGTAAATTCCATACGGAAAGCTATTTTGGGGGATGAGTGACGATGTATACATGTACAATGATACACGTGTACCAAGTCTTTATTACGATTTTTCTTTTCTCTTTTTTTACGAGCTTTCAAGTGCACGGCTGCTCATACGTATATATACATAAGCCAGAGGATGGAATATAAAACTGGAACGTGCGGCTCTCGGCTCGAGGGTGTACTCGAGTGGTCCAAGGAGCGACGCCGGCCACCAAAGCTTGGTCAGCCAATAAACGAGATCAGCTCGTATCGAGTGTACCTATATATATATGATTCAATGGGTAGTTTTTCACCGACACCTTACGCGCTTTGCGCTCAATTTTCCGAAATTGCATTTGTACGATTTTACGCTCTCGTTCGATATTTTTTTCGCATAGCTCCGATACTCTATAATATTATGTAGCAATTCACGTCGCCAATATCTCGACTCAGCAGCCCATTTCGTTCTAGTTCTCAAGTGTCCCAACCGGCCTAGATACAACGTCCTCCAACGTAAGTTACCAGAAGCAACATTGATACAGAAAAAAAAAAAAAAAAAAAAAAATTCTAAATTTATCGAGTGCTTTTCGAGTGCACCTCTTCTTCTCGCGGCTATGCCGTTTCGCGCTGAATCGTTGAATATTCAACAAAAGGCTCTTTCAAGCGGACCGACCTGTACCTCCCTTTTTTGGGTGCACGCTCGCCGTCTCATATAACCGAGGAGGTTATATCCCCCAGTCACTGTACTGCCAAAAATTCCACGAGAGGGGTCCGACCTTTCACGTCGGCCTCGATTCATTTATACATCCAACAGCGTAAAGTTGGATATTACGTCACGTATTTCGTACATATAAGTGCTTCTTTTTTTTTTTTTTTTATAACTAAAGCTATAGTCGGTACATTACAATGTGTACCATTTATTGAAATGAAAACTGTATCGGCCGATTCTCTACCCGATCCTGGTAACAAGACAATTAGCCAAACAGTTAGTTAATTAACGTGTATATTATATACACCATACTATACCTCTGCAGCATGTACATACATATACCGGCCGGGCATTGTGCACATAGCGTGCGATTGTAACGGTAGTGAAAAAGGCGGTACTCCACGAGATATTTGTAAATTAATATCGAGTGTGTTTTACTTTCGATGCAATTTGTTACGTGTACTGTTAACGATTGGATTATCTGTCTTTGCGATCTCACGTTTATGGCGCGTTATCGGTGCAGATATCGATTACACATACATGTGTATACTATTCAACAAAAAGTTTTAATACAAAACAAACCGATGTATTGTGATGTAGGTACGACGCTCCGTTGATTCACGGGAAACGACGGCTTTTAATAAAACGTATAACGTGGATGGATCACGTAATTGTTAAGAGTGACGGCTTTTGCTGTCAATTATTGAGTATTAAAGAATGTAAATTTTATTATTTAAATCTTAGAAATGAAGAAACGATGGAAAGAAAAGGAAAAAAGTATAATATAATACGCGCGGAGTGCTCGAAAAGAGAGTTGGCAATAAGCAGTAGAGAACGGCTACTATGAATCAGTTCTCTCGTCTTCGCTCTTCCCCCGCATCATCGGCTATAACAATCAGATACGTATATATAGACACGGACGCATTCTTCTCCCCCGGTCTAATCGATAGAGCGTTAACGAGAAAGGCCTTATCTCGCGTAGTCCTCGCGAGGGGCTCAGCCCAACTCGCACGGCATTAAATCTCGGCTTGTCTCTGGATTCCTCCTGCTCCAGTGTACACTTGGAAAATTCCGTTTCTTTCCCCCCCCCCTTACGTTTACCCGCTTTCTTATGATCAACAGCCCATCAGACCCCGTAAAATCGGACGATATAAGTCACCATCGACCGATGGACAAATTAAGTACGAATCGATTGCGTTATCCGGCAATCTGGTGTAATGGACTGCGTTCGGTAGCTTATTAATTGACCCCAGTCCGTACACCCTTACTCCTTAAGGCATATAGCAGTGAGGCAGGCAAGCAAGTATATACATGAGTAGCCCGCAGACGAGCAACAACAGACGCGGACCGGGGACAAAAAAGAAGCAATAAAGGCGCGAACGAGGCATCATTAAGCCAACGATAAGGAAATGAGCTTTGCCGTGAGTAGGTGTATGTATGCTAAACCACCGTCGGTGAGATTGAGGTTGGGTATATACCTGTTACTTGTACACAGCAGGTGCAGGTAAAGTAAGTATACGCGAGATAAGCGCATGCAATGGGCATCCGTGAGAAAACATCGCCATGTCACTCGTATCCCCCCTCCCCACCCTCCCCTTGTAGATGTAAGTATACATGGTAAGGTACTTATTTGTGCGCGTGTCTTTGTGCCGCGCCAAAAGTTACATACACTATGGGGTAGAGGAAAGACGCACACAGACGCTGTATGAGGAGATGGTACAGGAATGGGGCACGGGTAGGTATAATATACGACGTGGACTCGAGACAGGAGGCTAATCTTTGGGCGAAGGGAACAAACGCACGTAGAGGTTCACGTTGTATGCATATATACGTACACGCTGTATACTCGCTCGACTGCTTCTCGAGCATCAGCTCATTATGCGAAAAAAGGGTCCGGAGGCGCGCCATCGCTTAATTAGCAAGGACGGTATGTAGCTATCTGGAGTGTGTGTACATGGGAGAGAGAGAGGGGGGGGGGGGGGAGGAATCGGGCGCTGACACTATCATTTTTCACCTTAACGCGGCCGATGCTGCGCGCACGGGAATCCATATCGCGAGCAAATATCATTAGTGCATGGAGCGAGAGAAGAGCTGCCTCGAGGAAACTGCGTATCTCTTTGGCGACGAGCAACGGGTTTGATTGGAAATTCTTTTTTCCTTTCCATTGGACGATCCGACGTTTATGAGCTTGCGGGGGTACACGTCGTCAGGCTAGTTCGCATTTAATGGAGTACGCGATAAACACGCGTGGGCTGGTGTGTCATTATAATGGGTTATATTTTTTGCCCTCGATGCTTATATTCGAATAATCTTCAAGCAAACATATTTATGCTTTTCAGCGATAAATGTATAGTTGACAGCTCCTACAAAAATCGAGACTTGGTGGCTTTTAAAGTATTTTTGTCATCATCCAAATTGATTGTTACGAGCTTGGGAAGACAAAAGGGACAGCCCATCGAACCGTAGTGCTCGTAACAATCGAATAAAGTCCCATTCTCATTGCAAGGACGCAAGACTAGAATTCGCGCAGAGCAAACAAAAGCAAAAAAAAAAAAAAAAACAAGTATCGGTCTGTCGATGTAAGGTCGATTGTCTCGTTGGCGTGTACGTAGCGATCGATTTGAAGGGGGGGGGGGGCCTCTCGACGTGAAAGGTAAGTACTTACGTATATATGTACACGGGAAAAGGCCTCGACGGTCGCCAGTGGCCGAAAGGTGACCGTCGTCCTTGACAAGCAAAGAAAATGAGACCCACGCAAAGATGCTTAAAATCGAGAGTTCACAACGAGGGAGCGAAATTTTTTTTTTTTCTTCTTCTTCATTTCCGATTTCTTTGCGCACAAAGGGACACTCGTGGGGATTTATCGCTTCAGAGAAAGCTTCGTCGTTACGCAATCGACACATTATTGTACAGTGACATAAAAGTCGGAAGCTTCGTGCACAAGCACATCTATCATCATAGCAGAGACACGAGAAATGGAAACTAATGGGAGTACGTAGCATGTATATATACAGAATTAGCTCGGGTAGCAAACAATATCGAAAACCGCACAGGAGAAGAAATCTATGCCTATACGTGCATATATGTACGTCGGACGAATAAATCA